GCAGTCTAATGCCTCCTTAGTTGTCACTGGAAGCTCTTCGTCAACGTTGTTTTCTAGTTCGTCTTCCTGTTCATTATCAACGGATCCTTCATTAACCAAATTGGAGTCTAACAATTCCTGTGTTGCTAAAAAATTATTGTCAGCATTTACGTACTCATTAAATTTGCCTACAGAGTGTTTCAGTTTATTGTTGCATAACTTTAAGATTCGATAGAACTTTTAAAATTAATGCATAAAGTCTATATAAACATGGGCCGAAAAATGCGTGGCTTCCGAAATACAGGGTGTTTAAATTTACTTTCTAAAATAGTTTTTTTTAATATTTCGAACAATATTTGATGTATAACAGTGAAAATTGGTATACAAGGGTTTTTTGGTACGACAAAACGAACCACGGGCATAGTTTTACTGTAGCCGCTAGAGGGTGCTCTCTACTGTACCTGTAGTGTATTAAAATGACCGAAAAAATTTTCCTAGTGCAATTTTTTGCTTTTTGAATAAAAAAACTGATTCTTCGCACTTTTCAACATAAAAAAGCTCTCCTGTGAGTTTTCGTTATAGTTAGCCGTTTTTGAGATATTTCGATTTTTAAGGTTCGATGCATTTTTAATTATTTATGGGAAAATAATATTTTTTGTACATTTTCGATTTGGGCATTACAAGTAATTAAGATGATCGTTTAGATTGTGTTTTTAAACACAGCAATAATTCCTAACTCCAAATAAACACAAAAAAAACAGAATATTAATTTGTTTAATTTTCCAATTTTTTTTTTATACTCCAACTACCACGAAGGTCTAAGGCCTAAGCACCCATTAGTTACCGTGGGGCTATAGAGGGATACATAGAAAGGGGGGCGCCACACGGACTCTGGCGAGGGAACACGTGTGAATGCAACATGCACACATTCTGGCTCCGCCTACGAGATCCGCCGGGTGGTACCTCTGCGTTCGACAGTCAGAGACCATCTACCACCTACGGACAATCACAACATCCATAGCCAAGAGAAAAACTTCTCCTGGGACGGGATTCGAACCCGCCCAGCGCACGGCGACTGATCAGGAGACCGAAGAGTCTACTACTGCGGCCACCGCTGCCAATATTAGTTTTAACAAATTAAATTAATTATTTACAACTAAAATGCTATTGGATAGTTAGGACAAACATACAAAATCTAAAGTACTTGCTCGAAATGTAAACCCAATTGTTCAATACACAATTCACATCTACGAATGATCGAACGTGGTATAGCATTATTCAAATAAGGCCTTATTTCATCACATGCATTCCTGATTCTGTCTATTAGCATATCTCTTGTGGTTACGGGAGTCTGGTACACTTTTTCTTCTAGAAATCCCCACACAAAGAAATCTAATGGATTTAGGTCAGGAGATCGTGGAGGCCAGGCGACTGGTCCTCCACGGCCGATGCATCTTTCTGGATAATTTTCGTCCAGCCAGTTTCTAACTATCCTCGAATAATGAGCTGGACAACCATCAAGCTGGAACCAGGTCAATCTACTTAAATCTAACATAACATCATTCCACATATTTGCATGTTCAGCCTTTAAAAATTCCAAGAAGGTCGCAGCATTTAACCTTGCAGGCAAAAGGTAGGGTCCAAATAGTCGATTACTGTAGATACCAATCCACACGTTAACAGTAAATTCATGCTGAAAATTTCTTTCCCGAACTGCATGCGGATTTTCATGCGACCAAATATGTTGATTATGAAAATTTACCACTCCACGTGCCCATGGTTCGTTTTGTCGTACCAAAAGACCCTTGTATACCAATTTACACTGTTATACATCAAATATTGTTCGAAATATTAAAAAAAAAAACTATTTTAGAAAGTAAATTTAAACACCCTGTATTTCAGAAGCCACGCATTTTTCGACCCATGCTTATATAGACTTTATACATTAATTTTAAAAGTTCTATCGAATCTTAAAGTTATGCAACAATAAACTGAAACACCCTGTATATGCAGTAAACTATTGATTTTCAGTAAATCAGTAACTCAATCAATCAAATTTCAGTTATGTTTTTCACTAAACCAGCATGGCGAAAACAATTACGAATCGTTTCTGGAGTAACCAATTCCCATGCATTAGTAAGCAAATTTATAGCATCTAAAATGGTGACAGTTCTGGTAATGTTGAAGCTCCATAATTTTCATCAACATATGTTTCCGATACATTTGTTTAAGACTCCAAATGACACCCTGGTCCATTGGTTGCAGAACTGATGTCACATTGGGTGGAAAACATTGAAGGTTGATGCTATTAAGTGGAATATTTGGATGATCGGGGCAGATATCGACCAAGAGCAAAATTCTACGATTTTTCATCGTCCCACTTATTTAAATCTTCTTCAAAGATTGATGAGGTCATCCAAGCTTTATTATTTCCAACATAATCAACGGGAACTGTTTTAACATTTTTAACACTGGTGGCCAAGTTCGAATACAAACTGCGAAGCCAAACCGTCGTAAACGATTGCATCAGCTAAATCTGCTTCGGGGAACTACCGAAATATCTCGCATATAATGGATTAAAAATAGTCCGTTATAAACGAGGGTCTATTTTAAGCGAGTCTATAATATCCGATGATTTTACATGCTGTTATTTATAGGACCTTGAATTGGGTCCATTATAAACGGGTTTCTATTATAAGCCAGTTCATTATAAGTGCATTCCACTGTAAATAATTTTAAACGGAAAACGTTCATCTCTGTATTAAGTCAAAAGAAAAAAGATGTTTGTGTAATTGGTACTTGAATGACCGATAATTATATTTGTGAAGAATTCTCCAACCGGATTAGTAAGTTATGTCACATTCTAAAACAATTTGCTGAATTGAGCCTGTACAATTTACTTCAACACAGGCTAACATATCTACGAGGGATGTCTTTTAAGTTTTTCATATATACTAAGTGACATATAAATCCGAACACACAGTTTAAATGGTTTTATTTCAATAAAAGTTGGTGAATGTATTTATCTTACTGTAAATAACAAGTGAAAAAATTTTCAGCCTTATCAGTTGGACATTCCGGTTTTTATACTGCTTTTTTTTAATTCACTAACGCTCTAAAGCCGCAGTAAAGAATCAACGTTGGCGGATTTTGGTTCTTGACATCCTTTACGATCGGTTACGATGCCTAGAGTACGGAGACCTGTACGATTTCGTCAACTTAGTGAGTTTGATAGGGGCCGTATAGTGGGACTTCGGGAAGCTGGACTTTCTTTTCGGGCAATTGCAGTTAGAGTGCAAAGAAGTGTAGAAACTGTGGTTAGGTGTTGTCAGGCATGGCTTCGAGAAGGCCGTACGCAAAGAGCAAGGGGCACTGGACGCCGCCGTAGAACAACAGACCGTCAAGATCGCCGCCTAAGATTATTGGCCTTAAGCGACCGTTTCTCCACTACCAGGTCCATTGCAAATGAATGGTTTGCAGAACACGGAAGACCTATTGGCATGCGAAGTTTTTACCGACGAATGAGAAGTTTTGGCTTGTTTTCATACCGGCCACACTGGGTCCTCCCTTTAACTCGAGAACACCGACGTAATCGCCTTGAGTGGTGCAGACAACGGTCACTCTGGGATCAGGAATGGAACAGTATTGTCTTTAGTGACGAGTCTCGATTTTGTCTAGGCATGCACAATGGTCGTGCCAGGGTTAGAAGGCGACGTGGTGAAAGGAGGAATCCACAGTTTTTTGTTGAAAGACATGTTCATCACACTGTTGGAGTTATGGTTTGGGGTGCTATAGCTTATGGTTCCAGGTGACCATTAATCTTCATCAGAGGTAACATGAATGCGCAGCGTTATATCCTCGAAGTTCTAGAACCCCATCTTTTACCCTATCTTGACACCCTGGCAGATCCAACTTTCCAACAAGATAATGCCCGACCACATGTTGCAAGAGTCACAATAGACTTCTTTCAACATAATGTCCTCCTCAGACTCTAGAAGCACTTCGAGAGGAGTTGGTGGTTGTCTGGAATGAGATACCACAGGAGGACATTGACCACTTGATCAGAAGCATGCCTAGGCGCGTTGGAGAATGCGGAGCACATCAGGGTGCATCCACACATTATTAAAGGTCAAAGGGCTTTAAAGCAGTGCAATCATTGTGAAATTTTTATCATTTACTTATTGTGCTTCATTAAGTACTTATACAAAATTTTATTAAAATAAAACCATTTAAACTGGGTGTTCGGATTTATACGTATATGTCACTTAGTATAATTATATTTGCTTGTGATGAATCCTGCTCAAGCTCACTAATTATTGTGAACTTTTCGTCTAAAGTGAATGCACGTTTCGCACTTTTCGACATGTTTATAACTCTAATAAATGCAGCATAACACTGGTGGCCAAGTTCGAATACAAACTGCGAAGCCAAACCGTCGTAAACGATTGCATCAGCTAAATCTGCTTCGGGGAACTACCGAAATATCTCGCATATAATGGATTCAAAATAGTCCGTTATAAACGAGGGTCTATAATATCCGAGGATTTTACATGCTGTTATTTATAGGACCTTAAATTGGGTCCATTATAAACGGATTTATATTATAAGCCAGTTCATTATAAGTGCATTCCACTGTAAACAGTTTTAAACGGAAAACGTGCATCTTCTCTGTATTAAGTCAAAAGAAAAAAGGTGTTCGTGTAATTGGTACTTGAATGGCCGATAATTATATTTGTGAAGAATTCTCCAAATGGATACTAATCCGTACTTACTAAAGTTATGTCACATTCTAAAACAGTTTGCTGAATTGAGCCTGTACAATTTACTTCAACACAGGCTAACATATCTACGAGGGATGTCTTTTAAGTTTTGCATATAGAAACATAGTAGGCCGCGCGGATCGAACGTCAGTACTGAATCTTAACCTCACTCTTTAGTAAACTTAAATTCAAAGTTTCACAACAATACGTACAGTGTTCTCACTACAGTGCATTTTTAAGTGTCACCAAGTCATTAGAAAAATGGAACTCAACCGAGAACATTTTCGCGCCATAATTTATTACAACTTTCAGAGACAATTATCGCAACAAGAATGCCTTGCTAAGTTACTGTCTGTTTTCGGCAACGAAGCGCCACATCAGTCGACAATTTCCCGTTGGTATGGAGAACTCAAACGTGGACGGGTGAGTCTTAGCGACGATCCCAGGGTGGGTGCGCCAAAAACAGCAGTCACCCAGGAAAACATCGATGCTGTGCGCAAACTCATCATTGAAGATAGACATGTGACATTTCGCGAGATTGAGGCGTCCTTGAAGATCTTAAAGACCTCAATTCAAAAAAATATACATGAAGAATTAGGAGTAAGAAAATTAGTCTCTCGTTGGATACCCCACCTGTCGACTGAAGAGCAGCAAGCAGCCAGGGTTAATTGGGGTCAAAAAACGCTTGACCGTTTCAATTCCGGAAACTCAAAACATGTGTACAGCATTGTTAGTGGTGATAAATCGTGGATTTACCGTTATGAATCAGAAAATAAACGACAGTTGGCTGTTTGGGTGTTCCAAGGTGAAGAAAAACCAAAAAAGTCATCCGTTCTCGAAGTGTTTCGAAAAAGATGGTCGCGACATTTGGTTCAAAATTCCTCTTAATGAGCAAGGAACTGTTACTGCGGATTGGTATACCACCACTTGTTTGCCAAAAGTCATCACCGAGCTTCGAAAAATCAACGCCGAAAGAAAAATCATCCTCCACCAAGCCAATGCAAGCTCGCACACAGCCCAAAAAACAAGGCAGTATTTAACAGAAGAAAACGTGGAATTATTGGACCATCCTCCATATAGTTTCGATCTAAGTCCCAACGGTTTCTTTACTTTCCCGAAAATTAAAAACAGACTGCGTGGTCAAAGGTTTCAGTCACCAGAAGAAGCAGTTGACGCATTCAAAAATGCCGTTTTGTATCTGCTAGCAAACGAGTGGAATAAGTGCTTCGAAAATTGGTTCGAAAAACAATAAAGTAATTTAAAACTACCTACCGTGTTGTTTTATTTCCATATGCAAAGCTTAAAAGACATCCCTCGTATTTCTTTTTCTACACTGACGATAAAGTTATTGGCATTTTTTCTGGTTTATTTCGCATTATCCGTTCCAGTTTTGGAAAATACTGCCGAGTGGGATGGCGACGATTGGGTAATCTCTGAGAATAATGCTGTTACTATATACAATAGTATCGATGACGCGCTTAAGTTTAGTTCTGTACCGATGTTTAAAGTCCTGGTAAGGCAATTTTATTACAATAGTCAATGTAATGGATAGTTCAATAGTTTTTGATTATATACTCTTCGCTTTGCGGTTTTGTGTCTTAGGCTTTTGTTTATTTTCATTCAAATTATCTCATATTTTCTATGCTATTTTATATTTGATCACTTCTGATGATTGCATTTTATGTATTATCTGTGGCTTTCTTCCTTGTTAGCTTTTATTTAGGGTTAAGTAGAGTAGCTTAGGCTAGACTTCGCCCTGTTGCAGATTTCCGCATTGTATATAACAATGCTCAATAAAGACATAATAATAATAATAATAATAATAAAGTCGAGCTGCCTTAACTGCATTTTTTCTTGCTTCCCAGTAAATTAACAGCATGTCATTTTCCTAGTTTATAGTATAGCTTTCCCTTGTAAATTAACTACGTAAAAATTAAATTTTTAAAACTGACAATATTTTTAATAACCTAGGTTAGGTATTTGTTGAAGTAACCCTAGCTTCACCGATAATTATATTTTTGTTTAACTGATAATTATTCAGGAAATCGTGAAAATAAAATAAGAGTGTGTAGCGTCAAATTATTAGTAAGAAAATGGTCTTTGAGAAAAATCCGACGAGTCACCCTCTCTCTATTTGAAAAAATCAAGCCATCTGAATAAATAGTGTTAGTAACTTTTAGAAATTGTATTTTTCCCATGTTACTTGATTGAAAATGAAGTGATTTACAGGATTCATGGCATTCTAGATCAAAAAATTAAAATTGAAATAAAAATGACTCTATTTGACAAACTTTGTCAAGTGAGGTTTTGTTGAGTTCAGAATATCATTCACGATCGAAATAAGTAAAAAGTATAGGGTGTCCCACTTACAAATCGAAAGTTGGAGTCGTTTCCAATCAAATCGGAAGTACTTCAAAGCAAGTGAATATGTCAAAAATATAAATTCATCTATAATACGCAACCCCCATTTCGCTTTTCTATTTTCAACAATAAAAAAGTTATAGGGGTGAGCCTCCTTGGAGAATCACTCGGTATATACGTTAAGTTGCAATGCCCTGAACCCTGCCTTGAACAATACTAAACATCAGATGATTATGAATATATGCCGGTGCGATTTTCAGTATGTGATTTGTGACCCATTGACGATATTTTCTAGGCAAATATTACCATGTCAACTCGATGGGGGACGGCTTGACGATCGAAAAACTGTTGCCATTGGAGGATTTGTGATCCATTTTCAATAGTTTCTAGGTTGGTTCAACAACATGATAACAGCTTCATGGCTAGTCGTGCCCCATTTTCGCTGCCATTACATTTCATCATGTTTAGATTCTCTTATGGAGATCTTTTCTCAACCAGAAAATTAATTGGCAGGTTTCCAGTCAGAGTCCATTGCTTCTCAATACTCGGCCCACCATCAGTTGGCATCAGCCTAGTTGTGGTAGCAACGACCCTATTTTTTTTAACTACGGTGCTCAGTCATCCTTGCATCCTTGTCCAGCCACACGCCCAGGTACTTAATCATACGCTGATTTTGTATCTCAGCATTGGCGACATTTACTGACAGTGAGAACAACTTCTACCTGCCATAAGTTATTACCACTTCAGTTTTTTCAGCAGCCAGTTTCAAGCCATTTTCTACCATCCATATGTTGATCTTGGTTATTCAGTATTGATACTACCATTCCCAATTCCTCTGCGGGATGTAAAGCTAGTTCGAAACCGTAGAATACTACACGAGCATCCTGGATAACGCTAAATGAACTAGCACCTACTGGCGGTGGTATCTCCTGACCATAAGGCCCATTTTACGACCTAACAACCATGATATCAGACAAGGATGGCCAGAAAGCTCGGACCCGTGGTTTGAATTTGTGATAGACTATAAGCTATGCTAAAAGCCAGTACCTATCAAAACTTATAAACAAACGATAACGTCGACTTGGTTTTTGTGCAGAAACCTATCTGCGATACAGCGCTTCTCTAATTTCTGTGTCTACACCTGCTTCACCTTGGCCTGTTCAAGTTATCCACACAACCTCACCCTGCTGTAAATGTTGGAGATTACAACAGCTATCCTGAACAGTGGAAATACAGAGATAATGATGCAAATGGAGACCCATTAGTAAAACGGAAAGAAGACGAACGCTTACACAATTGTATTTGATGCTAAGGATCGATATTCGCTCAGATCAGCTGCCTGGAGACAACGCCTATGCTTCGTCTCGAACGGTTTCGCCACATAACTGTTTGGGATGGATACCCCCTACCAGTAAATCCCACATTTGTTGGCGCTGTAATAAATATGGACAAGAAGCATATAACAGAGAGCGTATCGTAAAAAATACATCCCTGGCTGGCCACAAAATAGCGAGGAGTTATACCAGAACTTCCTTCAATCCGGTGATCAGAAATAACGGATGAACTACTTCACAGCTTGGATGCTGCTAGGAGGCAAAAATTGACAGAAACCGTGAAAAGTCTCGATTTTCAAACATCTATTAGGCAAGCCTGGTTATTACTAAGAAAACTAGAAAGCGGACCAGCTCAACGACCAAAGGCCATATCTTCACATTTGGTGAAAATATCCATGGCACCAAAAGACAAAGCACATACGATTCAGTTGAAGTGAGAATTCCTTATATACTTATGGAAAGTATACAAAAGTATGGCTTTCTCGATTTTTCACGAGTATTTTACAAACTGGCAGCATTAAGAACCCAAACGCTGTATGGTAATAGCCATTCTAAAACCCGGTGAGCCTGCCGATAACCCATAAAGGTGGCGAACAATTGCTCTGCTCTCTGTAATTTACAAACTACTAGATAGGCTTATCTATAATAGAATTAGTACAGAATTGTTCAGGGTGGTCCCGGTCGACCATGCAGGTTTTTAGCCTGGGAGCAGCTGTGTTGGGGGTGCCGCTGGCCATACGATTTTGGGGTGCCGCTTGCTCCATGATCTTGGGGGTGGCGCTTGTTGGTTGCCTCACGATTTTGAGGGGGGCGGATGGCGCTTGTTGGTTGCCTCACGATTTTGAGGGGGGCGGATGGCGCTTGCCCCGCGATGTTGGAGGTGCCGCTTGCCCCATGATCTTGGAGGTGTCGCTTGACGCTTGTCCCACAATCTTGGGGTGCCGCTTGCCTCACGATGTTGGAGATGCCTCTTGCCCCACGATCTCGGGGTGGCGCTTGCCGCTTACCTCACGATCTAGCGGATGGCGCTTGCCGCTTGTCTCATGATCCTGGGGTGGCGCTTGCTGCTTGCCCCACGATTTTGGAGTGCCGCTTGCTGCTTACTCCACGATCTTGGGGGTGCCGCTTGCCGCTTGCCCTACAAAATTGGGGGTGACGCTTTCCACTTGCCCCACGAATTTGGGGGTGACGCTTTCCGCTTGCCCCACGATTGTGGGTAGCCGCTTAACCCACGATTTTGGGGTGACGCTTGCCTCTAGCCTCAAGATTTTGGACTGCCTCTTGCAGCTTGCTCCCGATCTTGGGAGTGAGGCATGCCGTTTGACCCACGATCTTGGTGGTGCCGTTTGCCGCTTGCCCCACGATCTTGGATGTGCCGCCTGCAGCTTGCTCCATGATTTTAGGGGCCTCTTATTCAACATTTTTGGGGTGCCGCTTGTCCCACGATTTGGTGGTACCACTTGCCGCTAGCCCCACGATCTTAGTGGAGCCGCTTGCCGCTAGCCCTACGATCTTGGGGGTGCCGATTGCCATTCGCCACACGATTTTGGGGGGTGCCGCTTGCCGCTAGCCACACGATTTTGGGGGGTGCCGCTTGCCGCTAGCCACACGATCTTGGGGGTGCCGCTTGCCGCTTGACCCATGATTTGGGGGTTTCACTTGTCGCTTGTCCCAGGGTTGGAGGTGCCGCTTGCCCCACAATTTTGGAGTGCCGCTTGCTGCTTACTCCACGATCTTGGGGGTGCCGCCAAATCACACATCACGCTTAATGATAGGATCTTTCAGGTAATTATGGGCACAGACATTGAGCTCCCCGACGACACTTAAGAACGGGTTACCACAAGGATCAGTGCTCGCTCCAGTGCTGATCAGCCAGTATATTGCAGATCTCCGGGGACAGAATCAAAAAAGTTCGGATACGCAGACAACTGGGCTCCCGCGATAAGGTGCAGTTCAATTGAAGCATCTGAGAATGTTCTAAAAGCAAATAACGGGCGATTATTTCCGTAAGTAGAGACCTCAACCAAATGCCTCCATCTCAACAAAAAACTCGTTGGAACAGGACTCAACATACGGTTTGAAAGCACCATCCTTGGGCACAATAAATCACCGAAATACTCGTGCGTGACACTGGATAGTACCCTATCCTTTGATACCTAACAAGGCTGCTGAAAAGCTGAAGATGATAAATAATAATATTTAAAAATTCTGTGGTATTACCTGGGGAGCACTACTGTTCTGACGCTTGTTTTCTCGGCTGCCGAATACTGTGTTCCTGTCTGGTTAAACAGCCCTCACGTTACAAAGGTAGACACTCAACTACACAACAGCATGATGATGATTGCTGAAGTAATCAAAACCATTCCCTTCGAATGGCTTCCAATATTAAGCGATATCCCAGCTCCACCTCTGGGTCGGGTTGATACCCTTGCACTTGAATCGAAATAGATTTTGGATAACAGTCTACCGATCCACCAAGATATTGAAGCGGAAAATACTAATCGGCTTCCTTCTCGAAAACCACCAACGAGAACAACCAATGCAGAAGAGGCATTCAGCATTACCAACGCATGGTCTGAAGAATGGACTGCGCAGCAAAACAATTGCTTGCTTTGCATTACCGACAAACCAGCTGGATTTAACTTACCACGCAAAACATGGACTTCCATAAACAGGATTTGAAGTCGTCATGGCATATGCGGATGCTCCCTCTAGCCATCTCCTTAGTATGACTACGGTCAGATCACATTATTTGGGAGACCCCCACAAGCGCCTATAATGGTAACCTTCCTATTCGCAACTCTATAGTCGATAGATTATATTGTGACGATGACAAATAGTACTGTTGGCGCCATCTGTTGGGAGAGTCTCCTACTCGCCAGAGCTCCATGGCCGATATCTGTTTTTACGCGGACCACAACCGTACAAGCCGCTTGGGGCGTCTGTGAGGATCGTGGCAGTGACTAGGCTCCTAGATCGACACGAAGTGACCTCGAATATTCTGGAAGGCCGGTATGTGGCTCCCGATTCGTCTCGACTCAACGATGCGGACTATATAACTCGGCGGCCGGGATATGGAAGCAGAGTACAGAGTACACTAGAGTAGAGCAGATTGGAGTTTAGTCTAGTCAGTGGCGCGACATAAGAATTAGTTAGACATAAATAGTGGTGTACATAAATGTTCTATCTAGTCGAGTAAAATATATAAGTGCATTTCTTTTTGTGGAATCCAGTGTTTTAATCCACACCCAAAAAAAACCCAGAAAAACGCTACAATATTAATAGTCTTAGGGTGGATTTCACCAGAATTGTCAAATCAACAAGCCGTTATTTTCCACCTATAGGGTCACAGTCCGTCAAATATAGCGAATGAGCTTTAAGATCCATTCAACAAATTTTAGCAACCAATAGCTGTGAAATATTGAAAACAAAATATTGTCAAAGTATGAGGTAACAGCTTGTCATTGAAACATCAACAGCTTATTGAATATTACCATAACTTTCCTTCTTTACCATAACCTGTGATTCGCTACTCGTTGTGCTAATATTACTACTACTTGACTTGTTTTCTTATCTCTAATTTGTTCAATTTTTATATTTGAAGAAGTTATATTCACTAACTCTTAGACTCGATCATATGCATTGATCCACTTAAAATGAACACTAAAGTAACATCTGCTTTGGTACTCTAGGGAGATACTTAGCCTTTGAGCCAACACGGAAAGCAAGGAATTATAGGAAAATGATGGTTCACCAATGTCCACTTGATAAGTCCAACGTCTTGACCTCAACTCCTGAGTTCCAAGTAATTCTTTCCTTGCAGATAGATTCATTTGTCCGTTAAGGGTTGAAACTCGCGGCGCAACGGAACTTCTTGACCAGATCCTACTGCTAGCTGCGCCAGTTAGGGCGGGAGCCTGCGACGATGAGTTATAAAAAAAATAAAATACTTTTTTTCAGACCGAACTTTACCATTTTTTATTGAGAAGAATTACAGAGTTGATTGTAGCGTGCCGCTAGATGGCTGATGATTCTGGCTGGGAGTAGATGTGGTCTACTTGCCATTGGATAAATTGAACAAGATGCTTTCGTCCGTACAACCAAGATCAATTCGAACAGAGGAAATTTTGTTTGTCCAAACAATGTTAGAGCGCTTTCCAAGTTTAAACAATATTTCTTTTTCTAATGAAGCTCATTTTCATTTGAGTGAATTTGTCAACAACCAAAATTACCGGTATTGAGTCGTAGAAAATCCAAAATTGAAATACCAACGACCTTTGCATTCGCACTATGTTACAGTTTTGGCGGCCATGTCAGCTGAAGGAATCATAGGACCCTATTTCTTCGAAAACGATTAAGTCCAGACTGTACAATTACATTCTAATCGCTACACAGCAATGCTACGTAACGTTTTCTTTCGATAACTGCATAATTTTGAAGCCTACCTTAGCAGGACCTGGTTTCAGTAAGATAGCGAGACATGCCGTACCGCCAACGAGTCTTTAGCAGTTGTAAACGAAATGTTAAGTGGAAAACTTATATTGCAGCGTGGCCTTCCCGGAGCCCAGATCTCGCGCCGCTGGATTTTTTCTCTGGGTATACCTCAAGAGTCGCGTTTACTCCAATAAACCGACGAGGATTGTCCAGCTAAAGCACAACATTTCCGACGATATCTCCGCTATCCCACGAGCGATATGCCAGCGATTTTTCACGAATTTCAGGTCGAGAGTCAAGGAGTGCGCACGTCTCGATGGCTCACATCTAAATGGTGTTATTTGTAAAAAATAAAATTACCATGTGTCTACTTTATTAAAAATATAAGTAATCTTCCCAACGCGTTTTCTATGATTATTTTTTAAAATCCGCTCAACTTAATGGCCTATCCTGTACTTTGTATGAATACACCTGAAAATTGCGGAGGTGATAACGAGAGGGTTCAAGAGTGGTAGGTTAGTAAAATATGAGTTTCGGAGCCTTTTTACCCTGTTTGTGGGGCGTCGTTGTCGCATACACAATTTTTGATGATAGACGTCATACGAGGGATGTCTATTAAGTTTTGCATATGGAAATAAAACAACACGGTAGGTAGCTTTAAATGACTTTATTGTTTTTCTAAGTATTCTCCACGAAGATTAATACACATCTGCATGCGCTCGAACCAATTTTCGAAGCACTTATTCCACTCGTTTGCTGGCAGATCCAAAACGACATTTTTGAATGCGTCAACTGCTTCTTCTGGTGACAGGAACCTTTGACCACGCAGTCTGTTTTTAATTTGCGGGAAAGTGAATAAATCGTTAGGACTTAGATCGGGACTATATGGAGGATGGTCCAATAATTCCACGTTTTCTTCCGTTAAATACTGTCTTGTTTTTTGATCTGAAGCTCGGTGATGACTTTTGGCAAACAAATGGTGGTATACCAATCCGCAGTAACAGTTCTTTGTTCATTAAGAGGAATTGTTGCAATATGACCCGCTTTTGACACAAATTTCGCGACCATCTTCTTCGAAACACTTCGAGAACGGATGACTTTTGTTGGCTTTTCTTCACCTTGGAACACCCAAACAGCCGACTGTCGTTTATTTTCTGGTTCATAACAGTAAATCCACGATTCATTTCGGAATTGAAACGGTCAAGCGTTTTTTGACACCAATTAACCCTGGCTGCTTTCTGCTCTTCAGTCAACAGGTGGGGTATCCAACGAGAAACTAATTTTCTTACTCCTAATTCTTCATGTAAAATTTTCTAAATTGAGGCCTTTGAGATCTTCAAGGACGCCTCAATTTCGCGATCTGTCACATGTCTATCTTCAATGATGAGTTTGCGCACAGCATCGACGTTTTCCTGGGTGACTGCCGTTTTTGGTGCACCCACCCTGGGATCGTCGCTAAGACTCACCCGACCACGTTTGAATTCCCCATACCAACAAGAAATTGTCGACTGATATGGCGCTTCGTTTCCGAAAACAGACAGTAACTTAGCAAAGCATTCTTGTTGCGATAATTGTCTCTGAAAGTTGTAATAAATTAAAAATTCGCTGTAGTGAGAAGACTGTACGTATTGTTGTGAAACTTTGAATTTAAGTTTACTAAAGAGTGAGGTTAAGATTCAGTACTGACGTTCGATCCGCGCGGGCTACTGTGTTTCTATATGCGAAGCATAAAAGACATCCCTCGTATCCTCGTCATATCGACTGTATTTCTATACTTCAGGGGTAAAGTATACTAAGGGTCGATTTCACTAACATTAAAATCTAACGGGGTCCTCGACCAATTAGGGAGCAGCTTATTGAAATGCAATTTGAACTGAAGCTGTCAAAGCTCTCCTAATATCAGTAATTTCTATTGAAATATTGAATAAAATCTGAAAAAGCGGTTGTTTTATGAAGAAGGGTATATTCTAGATGTAATACCATGTCTTTGAGCTTTAGAATTAGGATAACTTTATAGCCAATTTCTATCATTTTATAAAAGACGGGAACTTATTGGAATGTACCAATGAAAATTCGAGAAATAATAGGTCGATTTTCTAGCTATTATATTTAATAGGATGTTTTCACTGTTTTTGGTTCATCCCCTTTTGTTATATCAAAAACAATTTATTGTCAATTTATGACGTAGAAATCCACACCAAATGTAAACAAACAGTACATTCTGCATTCCTGGGTCCTAAAACATCGATATTTGTAAATGGATCCGCATCCACCTATTATTCATCGTCTAGATATTATAAGTCGTAATCAAAAATATCTATTCACCAAAATATTTGCAAAACTTATTGTTATCTTTTCTTTTTATTTGATTTAAATTGCCTTTGAAGTTTTCTGTAGCGTTGCCGAACCGAGGAAAAAAACGGAATCGCTAAATAGTGTCGTTGAATTCGGTATAGGGAAAAATGCCGTCCCAAGATCAGTGGTGGATCAAGGACATCTCTATTCGTCATTGTCTGTCGGAGCGGTCCGTAGGACCTTTGCTCTTGGTTGGAGTCTTGTTAGGTCGATCAAGGACCTTTGAGTCACGCAGCGCTGTCTATGAAAAAAGTTTATAATTGTATTGAGGGCGCACACAGCATATTTTTTGAGGGCATAGTTCTATATTATATTACTTGTGGTCGCTTTCATTCTGGAAACTCCTTTTTCGATTCTTGCTTATAGGATTGTGAACACTTTTTTCTGTTGTACTTCTAGACTTATAAATTCACCTCACAATTTGGTTAAATATTTATTTTGAAAACAGACAGGTTTCGGTTTCTTTATAGCTTGCCAGGTGATGCGATAATGTTGGTAATCTACCAGTCTGTACCTTTTGTACGCTCAAAGATCAATTTAGGGCAAGCGGAGTCAGGGATGAGGATGTGCGTTCGTAATCATATGCAACCCAAAACTACGAAAATTACATAAAATTAACTGTTAGCTTTAATTTTGCTTCCAGCTCTTTTTCGGCAAGTATGGAAGTATTCGAATTTTTTTGAAAAATCGTGGAAAATTACGTTTTCGGTAAATATTCTCATTTCGGTAAAAATACCGAAAAATCCGGTTCAAGTCTATGCATCTGCAATCTTAAACCTGCAATATGAATTTCAAAATTCTGTGTCATTTGGGGCGTCATGGAGATGATTTTAAAATTTTCATTTGCATTTTTTCAAGTGTTGTGCAACGATTTTGGGAAAAATTCCACTATGCACGGTTTTATGAAGAATAGAAGAGAGTATATTTCAAAAGTTGGCCGAGTTTGCTCCACTGGGACCAAGCGTTGACGGATCTCACAGAATTATGTGCCCCTTGTCGATATGGGGAGTTTTGAAATAGCAGGAGACGGTCAGCTGTTATTCTACCGTAATGGATACTAGTCAAAAACGTTTATTGTTTGAATTCAAATAATATATAATATAACCTAGAATGTGTACACCGTGAAAAAAGAAAATTATTGCAACTTCTATTTTTTTGAAGGTTTCAGGTTTGCTGGTAGCTTTACGATATACATTTGGGTATTTCTCAATCGCTGTAAATATAGTGTGGATGTTTATTCACTTCCTGGACAACGAAAAATATTCAACTTTATGGGTGTATAGATATCAAAAAACTTGAATGGTTTTATGCGAATATCAATCTAAGGTGGCATAATGATACCGATGAACGAATGAATGATTGGAAATCGGGAATATCTATGAAATTTTTGGTAGAGTCTTTGTCATCAAGTAGGAGTTTAATGGCTATCTGCAAGATGTTTATAGGCAAAAATACACGGTAGGCGATGTTAATCAATACAATCCCATATTAATTGAGGAAAATAATATAAACATGAATGAACAATCAACAATAGTAAACAAATCAAACACTTTTTTAAATTTTGACTGAATTATACAGGGTGGCGCATCGAAAACGAAACAGACGCATTTACTGGCAGCTCAGTTTTTTTGGAAAAACGCTTAGACCCGTCGATTTTGTTTTCGAGGGGGACACAAGTTTGGCAAAAAATTAAGTTAGCACGTGCAGCCCCCTAAGCGGGGGTGACACCACCCCCAAAATCTTAAATGGAAAGGGGGGTCGAGTGATACCTTATTTTAAAGGTCTTTCAATTCCCTTTATAATGATATAAAATTAATGTACTTCAGTTCAGTATTTTTGAAGATTTATTGATTTAAAGCTTAAATAAAACTAATACATCATCATTAGTGGAGATCAATACATTTGGCAGCAAAGTAATTTAAAAATGAAGAATGAACTGATCGATTAGGCAAGTAAATGTTGAAAATGATGATGACTCTCCATGCAATAATAAAGATTTTGCTCAAAACGTTGCCGCACATTTTGCGGGCCATTCAATGGCACCTCTTCTACCAATCTATCGACCGGGAAACGCCTAATCTAAATATTTTCGAACACGTAATGCGTAATGTGGTGGGGCGTCATCCTGTTGGAACATCAACCTATTCGCAATGTACCGCCGATCATTCTGATTTTCAATTATGGCTGTTAATGCAGGATCTATGGCGTCTTCCAGTAATTGCAAATACATTTCACCGGTCAAATTTCCAGGTAAGAAAAAAGGACCAACTAAATGATCGCCAAAAATACCATCCCAAACATTTAATTTTGTGGCTGCTGTGGGTGAACCTCATGATAAATTCTGGGATTAGAATCGGACCAATATCGGCAGATTTACTAAGCCATTTAAGAAAAAGGAACATTCGTCGGAAAAGCAAGTGTTGAATAGAAAATGTTCATCGTTTATAATTCGTTCACTCATATCTTCACAAAATTGTAATCGCCGATCAAAATCGTCTTCATTAAGTTCTTGTACCAGGTGAATTTTATACGGATGAAAACTATGGGCCTTTAGAATCCGTTGGACAGAACGTCGACTAACACCACACACAGTCTCCAATTTGCGGGTATTTAACGTAGGATCTACATAAACTTGCCCTAAAACCCCCACTTCTATTGCTTCGTTCCTTATGGGATTTTCAATGTTGCGTTTTTTATTGGCGACTGACCCAGTTTCCCGAAATTTAGCTACAAGTTCTAGAACATATTTTCGATGCACGTTACTGTTCTCATGTCGCTCATTAAATATTTCTGCTGTTCTATTAGCGCACTGATTATTTCCGAAAAATATTTCGATAATTTGAACTCTTTCTACTGTGGAATATACCATGGTTAATTTATGTAATAAAGCGTTACAAGTTATTTTAGCAACAAAGTTTGGTCAAATCAATCGCAAACTATGTACTAAATTCCTATTTAAAATAAGTACGAGATATTTCCTTATCTTTCTTCAAGAAATAACTTTTTTGTCACAAAAAAAAAACGCTCCAATAGCTATTTTCACCGACAAAATGATAAACAAACCATGGGCGTAGTGAAGAAAAGCATTCACTTATTAAGTAAATTCTTTTAGTCAAATTTCTTCTGTAAGTAGTTCAAACTAATCTGATGTACCTATTAAAGTCTACTTTAAGCTTTAAATCAATAAATCTTCAAAACTACTAAACTGAAGCTCATGTATTTTAGATCATTATAAAGGGAATTGAAAGACCTTTAAAATAAGGTATCAGTAGACCCCCTTTTCCATTCAAGATTTTAGGGTTGGTGTCACCCCCGCCCAAGGGGCTGCACGTGTATAACGTGATTTTTTGTTAAACTTGTGTCCCCCTCGAAAACAAAATCGGCGGGTCTGAGCGTTTTTCCAAAAAAACACTGAGCTGCCAGTAAATGCGTCTGTTTCGTTTTCGATGCGCCATCATGTAATTTAATAATATCCAATAAGCTGGTGACGTTTCAATGACAAGCTGTCTTCTCATACTTTGACAATATTTTGTTTTCAATATTTCACAGCTATTAGTTGCTAAAATTTTTTGGATGGATGTTCAAGCTCATTCGCCATATTTGGCGGACTGTTACCGTATATGTCGAAAATAACGGCTTGTTGATTTGACAATCCACTATTGTCCTCTATTTGCCATAAACGAGTTATCTGTACTGGGTCATGCATATAGTCACGATCTCCTTAGGAGAACATATTTTTTTCGGCGAGATTACAGGTTTGCGAAACTTAGAGTCTCTTAAACAGTACCAAGTCACTAAATTATCAAACTAATCATCAACATATCCTTTGTCAAACTTCCATATAAAATCTACCTTTTGTGACATGTACACTTTACCTCTGAGGTACAGATTTGCTCTCTTATACGACATACAATAACGACAATTGGGTACGACATTAGACCGTCATAATGACGTCATTTTTGTTGGTCGTCGTACTTCAGTAGTGCCCTAAAAATGCCGACATTATGACGTCACTATGCTCACTGGTGGACGGAGCATACGTACAGCCTACGTCTTTTAATAATATGCAAACCGCTTTGCGGTGCGGTTAAGTTTGCGGTGTCAATGACACCGCTCGTCTTGGCATTGGCCGTACCTTTGTAGAGTGGTCGTGATCGTTGAACCGTTGTTCCAGGTGTCAGCAGCAGGAGCAGCAACGATGGCGATGGCGACTGATACCGCTATGCTGATGCGTTGTGTCGAGCTGCCCATGCCGTACCATTGTCCATCATCAGTGGTTCTTCGGTTGCGCGCGCGATATCCTACCTGCTACCTTCGGAAGTACGTGCTACAAGTGACACCGGGAAGTGACCGGGTGAGATTTGGGAGAATTGACAATCACTGGCTGCGTAAGTATTCTACATTCACATATCTCACATTCCCGCGATCAGATACTGCCGTTTCGAGCACGAATTCGCAAAAGCCCGATCTGACCGACCATTCATCATCATCATCATCATCCTTTCTTTATTGGTGCTTAAAACACTTGCGTACTTTCACAGGTCAAAGAAGAAGTTGAAATACAAAAGTGTAAATTAACAAAACAATAAAACTTACTGGACAGAACAACATTAACAAAAAAAAATGTATTATGAATTTAAAGTAAATACAAAACTATAGAACAAACACATCGGAACAAATTAACAAACAAAGTAAAAGTAAACAAGCACATTACAACACCATTATAAGAGATCCGAAAAGTTATTACTTAAAATCCTTCGATGGTATAAAAACGTTTCTTGATAAGGTACGCTTTAATTCGATATTTAAATGAGCCGGTGCCAGACATTCTGAGTACTTCAGGACGAACATTATAAAAGTATATAACTTATGCATGTTACGTGCATTGTCACTATGTACAACATCATTGAGCGTTTTGTATAGATCCAAATTGTACATAACAAATACAGTTCAGCATTATAGTCCTAATAGGCCCATGGCTTGGGTGGTAACTTGTCGCCAGCTTTTCTTGTTTACTGCCTTCTTCTTCCAATTATTGATTCCCAACTCTTAAATATCCATTTCCACTTCCTTTTTCCATCTGGTCTTCGGTCTTTCTCGTCTCTTTTCCCACTAATACTCGTATTGCAGTACTCTCTTTTGTATTCTGGACTCCGTCATCCTTTGGACATGTCCCAGCCATCTCAGTCTCTGAGCTTTCACTGTTCCTACTATATCAGGTTCACCATAAAGAGTTTGCAATTCTTTGTTCGTTCTCCGCACCCATCCACCGCACTCCCGCTTCCCATCGAATATCTTACGTAAGATTTTTCTCTCCCAAATATCTCTTTTGTTTTGCTCTGCTTTACTTAATGTCCATGCTTCACTGCTATAGATGACAATAGGTCTTATCATAGTTTTATACAACCTTAGTTTAGCCTTTCTGGACACGATTTTACCCTTTAAGAGTCGAATCAATGAGTAAACACACCGGTTACCCATCATCAGCCTATCCTGAATTTCTTCCGCAATATCTGGTCTTCTTTCAAAAATAGTTCCTAAATATGTCTAATTTTCTACCGCTACGAATTGGTAAGTTTTACCACTGACTGCTTTCACTGTTAACCTCTCATTTTTAAATTATTTCTCTGTCCATTTCATATACTTAGGGCCGTATCATCAGTCGTTTCTACAATTGTAGGACGCCTTTATGGCCTACTTGATTGTCATAGCCTTTTCTCTCCTTCAAAAATTTCTAGATTGTACCTGTTCCGTGTCAGCGTCAGCGCTGTCCTATTGTGAAGTATATTTTCTTTTTGAATCGTAGGAAATTTCAGGCTGATAAAACATGGTATAAATCAAAAGCATGAACAATTTGATGCTAATAGATATTTGTGACAACTTCAAAATAAAGCGCTGACACGGAAAAGTAGAAAACTATGAAAATTAAGGAGCTCACTAAGTCAATGATACAGTAATCCTTCTTTCTCTATTTATTTTCGCATCTCTTATAACCTCTTCAAGACATAGGCTGAACAGAACTGATGAAAGTGGGTCTCCAAATCTGTTTTGCTTCTGCTACTATTCTTTCTTCGTTATCTTTATATATAATCGTCTTGGGTCGTCCTTCCCGTTTAACGCCCTAATAAAGGTTCCTTATTTCCTTGTTTTTGTAATTTTCTTCTATTTTAGCTATTTTCATAGTAATTCTTTTCTTCCTTCTCAGTAACGATTTTGTTTCTTTTCCTTTGTTCTGAATATTCTTTTCTGGATTCTACTGTATTTTCTTTTTTGGCCTTTAATCGGCTTTCATTTCTCTTCTCCAGTTCTACCTTGCATTCGTGGTCAAACCAACCGTTTGGTTAACTTGTTGTCTATGGTGCTGGCTGCCTTGTTAATCACGTTCTCTATTTTATTTCATCTCTCACTGACACGGCCTACTTGGTTTGTACTGTCTAGTTCTATGTTTACTTGTCCCTCATATCTCTTCCGTTGGTCCATTGTATTTAATCTGACTGGTTGGTTTGCCTACTTTATCTCTCTTTTTTGGTTCTTCACCATTGGAATTCTTTGCTCTAACTTTATTTCAAGAATATAATGATCTGAATCTATATCTGGCCCTCTGTAGGTTCTTATATTTATTATGTTTTTTCCTCGCATATCATTTATTACATGATCGACTTGATTCACGCCTTTCCGTCAGGTGATTTCCATGTTCCTTCTTAACATAAATATATCTCTTTTCTCTGAAAAGATATACTTTTTATTACAAATTCCTTTCTCTTAGGAAATCGATAAGCAATTGCCCATTTATGCTAGTTTCCAAGTGTTTATAAGTGTACATAACATAAGCAGATAAATATACAGGGTAATTCTCAAGTCGTTACCAAAAATGAAACATCATACACAGGACCGTATTTTGAGGGGGGTCTTCTGTGCAACATTTTTTCCCTAGAAGGCTTCATTAAGAAGATACGGGTTGAAGTTTAAAAATAAAAAACAATTTTTTTAATATCTTCAAAACCGTCAACTAGAATGAACTATGTTTGTTATACGATTGTTATTCTTATTACTATCATTTTCTTTTTGTAAAAGTAAAGTCAAAAGTTTCTTTTTTTTCTGTTTTTGAGTGTAGTGAAATGGAATTTAGAAATGATGAGTATGCCGATATTATTTTTGTGTACGGGTTCTGAAATAGAAATGCTGCTGGTTCTCTGGAGGTATCAACGTAGATTTCCTAACAGGCGCCAACCTACCCCAAATGTTTTTACGCGTTACTTTCTAAGATTTCGGCAATATTCAATTGCCAAACTTAGAGTTAGATGCCATGGTGTCCGGCATACTGTTCAAGAGGAACTGGAATTGATTAATTTGGCGTTAGATGATCCTAGTACAAGTACTAGGTGGATTGAAGCCTAGTTACCATGTTCCCAAAGTCTTGCGTGGAGAATTTTTGAATCTGGAAGTTTTACATCCTCACCATCGCCAAAATGTGCAATGTCTGCAACCCGGCGACGAAGTCCAACGGCGAAATTGTTGTGAAACATCATAATCAAAATGCAGATTTTATTGATTTGGTTTTGTGGTCAGATGAATTGCTTTTTACGAGAAGTGGAACCTCTAATTCTCATAATGAACATATTTGGTCGTTAGAAAATCCCCGTTCTGTAAGAACCCACTCGTTTCAACACAGATTTTCTAGAAATGTACGGCATTTTCAATGGCCAACTGTTTATGCACGTATTGCCACAACGTTTAAATCCAAACTCATACTTAGCTTTTCTAGAGAATTACATAGAAAATGTGTTAGATGATGTTCCGTTAACAACGAGAATACGAATGTGGTATCAGAACGACGGTGCCCCACCGCATGTTCGCCGTGACATAACCGCATGGTTAGATAATCATTTAAGACAACGATGGATTGGGAGAAACGGACCCGTATATTTTCCTGCGACGTCTCCTGATTCGAACTCTTGGATTTCTTTTGTGTGGCGCTTTTAAACAACTAGTGTATGCTGAACAAATTAATATTGTTGATCAGTTACAAGAAAGAATAGATAATGCCTTTCATCAACAAATTTTGCGGAAATACGTTTTTCTTTATTAAAAAGATGCCGCACTTTTATCCATCAGAATGGTGGTCTTTTTGAACAGTTATTGAAATAAAGCTTTGGTTATCTCATTCGTTTGTTTTATACAGGGTGTCCGCAAAGTTGGGGTTTTCCTTTTCAGAAACAACTACCCTTGAAATAACAAAGGTAATGTGTAGTGAAACGAGTTCGACCAAGTAAAAAAAAATAAAGAAAAAAGTACTCACTCTCCAGTTGACGAGAAGGGCTAAGTACGTCTCTGCCCGAAATCATACCGCTCCAACAGAAAATGAAATCAGCTGATGCGCTACCGAGCAGACGCCGGCGGTGGTGCAGACCAGTAGACCACGAACAGAGGTAACAAATATGACCATCGTGCAGAAACCACATTGATTGTCTTACACTTAATGGCACATCTTCTAACAAGGAAGGCAAAATGTTGCGTAAAAAGTCTAGGTATTGCATCCCGTCCAATCGATTTGGGAGAATAAATGGTCCAATGAGCATACCGTTCACCATGCCAGCCCAAAGATTCACCGAAAATGTTTGTTGAAAATGTGCCCGACGGACAGCGTGCGGATTTTCTACTGACCAAACATGAGTGTTGCGAAAGTTATTCACCCCATTACGCGTGAACGTAGATTCGTCTGTCACCAATATGCACTTCAAAATATCCGGATTATTGTCATATTGATGCAACAACCACTCAGAAAAACGGAACTCTTGCTGGAAAATCGTCAGGTTGAAGGGCTTGTACACGTTGGACGTGAAACGGATACAGCCCCTCTTCACGCAGCGTTTGCCACACTTTAGTTTTTGATACTTGCACTTCTCTAGCCACGTCTCTAGTGCGTGTTGTTTTTTGAAACGCAATCGATTATACGGGTTCGTTTACCTCTACACGCGTGACCGTAACCGTCGGTTAAAGGTTGCATACTGACCTGACACACTGACCCCGACCCCGACCCAGTTCTGTCGTCGGGTTGAGCTAGTGTCCTAGTACCAGTTGGGGATGTCGCGAGTCGCGGCTGCAGGACGGTATTCAAATATTTTTGATGTTGCAGAGCCCTTTATCTCGGTTCCCTTAAGACATTGGTGTATATGGTACTAAGAAAAATTGCTTATGTTTTCAAGATCTACACGTCGTGTAAAGGAAAACCCCAACTTTGCGGACACCCTGTATTTACGAAAACAATGCACTCTAGGAAAAAATACAAGAGTAATTATTTGTAGCAAATTGAAGGTTAAGTTCGAATAATTCCGCGTTTCGAAAAAAAAGCTGTGACGTACTATTTTTATTTGGAAAAATAATGCCA